CGGCCGCCTTCCAGGCCACGGTGCTTGGCCCACCGTGATAGTCTCAGACCCGGATCGCACTTGCGGCAGAGGAGCCGCAGAAGGACGGAGTCGAGAAGCACACTTCCTACTTGTGCGGAAGGTGGCAATTGAGTGTTTGTGATAGGTGATGGTGTTGTGTGGTGCGGGTGCTGGTGCTGGTGCCAATCCAAGTAAACAGTCCAGGACATCGAGTTTGGTAGAATATTTGAAAATATTTCGGTAGAAAGAAATTACACTGGAATAGTTAAAGTATTTTGCTAGGTCTCCTGATAGCATTACACTAGCGGCTCTGTTTTGGCTGTTTGGACACAGTTAGCCGGTTTAGTTGGCTGACGGTCCTGGCAACACTGCACTACCTTCTGTTTGACCCTGCACAAGCAGGTTGAACTTGTGGGCTCGTCTGCGTCAGGTGATCTGACAGGCCAACTAGGCGATTAACTAGTGGATGAATTGCGCCTGCAGAGGTCAATCAATCACAAAAAACCACAGACAAGTCCTAGGGGATTGTCCTCGGCGAGTGTGATGATACAAGGGGAAAGAGAGCTCAACATATGCGGGACACAGATGGCCTCTGACGCCGGCCACGCGCAGGGACTGCCGGCTGTACTAGGCGAGTAGAGGTTCTGGTTAAAAAAATGGAAAACCGGTCGCAGGAACCGTCAACATATTCTTCAGGGATTAGTCCTTATAGCAACTGTCTAAGCTGCCCTACCGATCGACCTCCCTCTTATCACTCCATACGCTTTCATTGCCAAGTGACGCCACCTAAGACTCCTGCGGGAGACTAGCCCTAACACAGCTAAAATACGCACATTTATTATTATTTTATAATATTACATCCATTGAGGGCACTGGGAGCTCAAACAAGTAGGCTGGCGACTCCGGCGATCGGTCGCGTCATACTTTTATTAGCTGGCGGTAACTTGAGTTATAGTTGCGAGTGTGCGTCACGTGACGTGGTTATTTATTTTGCTGCATGCAGCTGTTATCGGGTAAAAGTCACTGCCTAGACCTGTACCTCGGGGCGAGTTTGCTGTCAAATGGACAATGTAAGGACAACATTGTATTCCCAATCGAGGCTCATCACAGGTTTTCCCCAATCTCGACGCGACATCTCCATTGCCAAGAGCACCCGCGCATGGCGTTCATCTGTCCGGCCAGTCCTCCACGGTTGCGAATGCTGGGCTTTGCGCATGGAGGATGAGCGGGGACTGGGGGTATTTGACCACAGCTGTTTAAGGACAAGGAGGTGAGCTTCATGATTCTGAAGGCGTCTTTGCCATTTGAAACAAATTCGTCAGGAGACTGCCTTCTCCCCATCGCCTCGACACAGTGGGCGTGAGCTACGCGTATTCTTAGTTAGTCGTACGGCTTGTTGGGCAGAGACTCTGACGGGACAAGACAAATGTTGCTTTTTGCTGCGAGTTCGCGGGTGCGCTTCCACAGTACACCCCGTCTAGACCGAAGGCAGCATGGAACGACATCTAGGGGCTATTTCATGCCTCGTCAACCGACTTAGGTGACAGGAGAAATGAATGTGTCGCTCACTTCGGGTGGTGCGAATGGAGTAAAGGAATGCTATTCAGACAGATGTGTGAGGAAGCTGCAGAGAGCGAGAGAGAGAGAGGTCGGAGATAGAAAGGAGGAATGAACAGAGATCGGCGGACCACAAAACACACCCAAAGGGGTATCTGTGACAGGGACCTTAAGATGGCCAAACCAGACATTTTTTGTTTGAAATGTCAAGTTGGTAAACACATGCTCTCAGAATTCGTCGTCAGACCCATACAGTTACATAGAAGAGGAAAATTGGAAAATTGACAGGGTTTATAAGTGTCTGGGGGGGGGGGGGTTAACACTTATCGTTCCCACGACCCCCGCATGGCGAGGTCGGCGTGTTGCGCTCACTGATCCAAACCTTCGTCAAGTCGGTTCCGAGGGAAGGCTTGGAAGCCCGCGGTCCTGTGGGAACCGGAGGTTGGCTCGATTCAAACATCTCTCTGGGTCGAACATCTCTCCAAGAAGTCGGACAGTAAAGTCCAACATCACCTCAGTGGCGAAGCAGTTGCCCTCTTTTCTTCTATCCCCCAGGATCTGGCAATCGAGACCGTCCAGCTACTCCTACGAAACAAATACGATGAAAGGGAGAATCGTCTCGGACATGCCCAAGTCCTTCAGCTCCTAAAGTTCTGTCTCAGGACGTACTTCACGTTTGACGGAACAATCTACGAGCAAGTGAAGGGAACACCGATGGGCTCGCCGATTTCGGGATTCATCGCCGAGGCGGTGCTACAGCGGTTGGAGTCGCTGGTCTTCCAACACCACAGACCGAAATTCTGGGCTCGGTATGTGGACGATACCTTCGTCGTCATCGAACGGGATCAGGTGCTAACGTTCAAAGAACGTCTCAACAGCGTCTTCCCGGACATACAATTCACGATGGAGGAGGAAGAGAATAACCAGCTGGCATTCCTTGATGTCCTCGTCTGTCGCAAAGATTGTGGTGGCCTAAAGACCAAAGTGTTCAGAAAAGCAACGAACACGACGCAAATTCTGAACTTCAACAGTAACCACCCAATCTGCCACAAACGCAGTTGCGTAAGAACGCTATTTCGGCGTGTTGAAACGCATTGCAGTGAACCGGAAGACAAGGTTGCCGAATCCCAATATCTTCGACGGGTTTTCCGAGAAAACGGTTATCCGCGCAACTTCGTCAACCAGTGCTTGCGCAAACGAGACGAACGACAAAATCGCGCCGACCCCAAATTCTGGCGAGCGATCCCGTACATCAAGAACGTCTCCGAGGCCGTTAGCCGCCTTCTTGCACCACTTGGGGTTGGAGTTGCGCACAGACCGGAGGCCACCATGAGGCGTCAAGTGATGAGACCAAAAGACCCACTGCCACGGCAAGAAACATCTGGAGTCGTTTACCGGATCTGGTGCAGTTGCGGAC